TGTATATAGGGTGATTTACATCATTTGAAGTTAACTTCTGTCATCTACATATTTGGTTTCTGTGAATTGTGTAGTTGTATCAAATTATGAGACTAGGATATGACACTGCATTTGTGTATATCACAATCTTAGAGCCGGACGTTGACATGACAATGCAGCTACGCCCAATTTTAAATAATCGACGAATAAAAGTAAATGAATTTTATATTTACTGCTTAACTACTAAAAATAACATAAACAAAAGACGAATTTTTGAATAAGTGCAAGTTTACTATAAAATTTACATACATTAGATATTTATGTAACGACTTGATTTAACTTCACACATTTTTGCAAAAATTGAGGCCCATCTGTAGCCTTGACCCCGCTGGTAAAGTCTCTATATGTCTTAATAAATCAATCTTTTAGATCACCGCAAGGTACTTAATAATTCCCGCGATACTAATTCGCTTACTGAAGTAACAAGACTATGGTTTAAACCGTCTTAAAATACTATCCAACTAAAAAGTGTGAAATAAAAAAAGGTAAATTTAAAAAATCACAAAACCCGACTGATACCCGATTAGATAGACTGGACTTGTTTTTTTCTTTTCAGTTTTTATTTGAAGTATAATTAAGAAGTCGGGTTTTTTAATTTTTAAATATTAACTTCTTTAGTTCTTTGAACTACTCTTGGGAGATTTTGTCCCAACTTATACCCACTCATTGATAATAATGGGAGATTTCAATACCTGCCTTCTAAAAAATGATTCTCGTGCAAATCCCTTCAATCTCAAAATTAAACTTTAATAATATAATTCCCGAGCTTTATAACAAGCATGCTCCTTTTCCCCATCAAGCTCAAACACGTTCCATCGCCGTGGTTTACTCAAGAGCTCAGGGCCCTAATGCATAAAAAAGACGTTGCTAAAGCAAATATAAACGTCGCCTGACTGATTATAATAAAGTCAACTATATAAAAGCTCGAAATAACTGCAATTTGGTGTGTAGGGCTGCCTTGCGCCACCATGTTCATGCTTCTGTTGATAATAAAGATCCCGCAAAAGTCTGGAATTTGAATTTAAAACCACTTGGAATTGGTAAACCCCGACACGAATCTACTCCTAGTAGCATCAACGTAGATTATTTCAACATTCAATTCTCTTCCTCTTCTAGTCTCAGTGATTCTCACAAGTCTTGTACTTTAAACTACCTTTCTTCGTTACCAGTTCCAGACTACTCTCCTTTTGTCTTTACTCAATTTACTGAATGTGACGTTAAGAAGAGCATGCTATCTATATCTTCCAATGCAGTGGGGAAAGACGGCATTAGCCGAAACACGTTGATACCTATCCTGGATATTATTCTTCCTGTCCTAACCTTCCTTTTTAACAGCTCGATTTCCAACGGAGTCTTCCCGTCAGTTTGGAAGCAAGCCCAAATTATTCCTCTTCCTAAAAGATCGAACCGTCAAACCATCGTCGATTTTCGTCCCATTTCTATCCTCCCCTTTCTATCTAAGATTCTTGAACGCCTTACCCATAATCAATTGAATACATTCCTCTCTCGCCACGATCTTTTCAATCCGGTTTCCGTCCTGGCCATAGCACCACGACTGCCTTACTTAAAGTAACTGATGATATACACTTTGGAATGGATAACGGTCTCCTCACGGTATTAACATTGTTGGACTTTAGCAATGCTTTGCTAAAGTCCAACAATTTAACAACTGGCGTTTCCCAAGGCGGTGTCTTATCTCCTCTTCTTTTTGCTGTATTAATTAACTCCGTTTCAAACAACTGGCAGTCACTACCCTACATCGAAATTGCTGTAAATCTTATCCCTTTTAGCACATCTGTAAAAAACTTAGGATTAACGTTTGACAACTGTATGAGTTGGGGCCCGCAGATGCAAGTGGTCAGTCGCAAATTTTATGCTGCAGCAGCGTCACTTAGGAGACCCCGTAATTTTCTACCCGTCACCACCAAAATTGCCTTAGCTCAGTCTTTATTGCTTCCTATACTTGATTATGCCGATGTCTGCTATCTAGATCTCACGGAGGACCAGCTTAATAAACTTGAGCGACTTCAAAATTTTTGTATCCGCTTCATATTTGGCTTGCGCAAATATGATCAAGTTTCTCAATTAAGTTCACAGCTCAAGTGGCTACCTATTCGCTTTCGCCGGAATACTCATAGCCTTTCTCTACTTTACAACATATTGTTCAATCCTAAGTCCCCGCGCTATCTTAAGGAAAGTTTTAATTTCCTGCATAATTCTAACACGTTCTCTTCAAGGTCATCCGAAAATCTTGCTCTTATGACTCCCGTACACAACTTTTTTCCACCGTTCGTTTGCAGTACAAGCTGTACATCTATGGAATTCGATAAGACGTGCGGAAACTATTTATACATTTAAAAGCCGTCTGAATTCCCATTTTCTGACATTGTAATACTTTTATTTTAATATCTGATGTGCTTACAACTACCTCCTAACTGGACAAGATCAATGTATGTATTTGTATTTATACTTATTGCATGTGTATATATATATTTATTTAAATATCTTATATGTGAATGGTGAATGTATGTATATACCAATATATTATATGTTTTACTAGCGATTTACACCACCGTCTCTCCCACTTCCTTCTAATCCTCTCCATCCAAAGGTTGCGTGGAAGAGATCGCTTTAAGCGATTAGGCCGCCCATTGCATCACGTGTACTAGATGGTTTTGTATTTAATGTTCAATATTTTTTTGTGGTGTACAATAAAGAGTTTTTGTATTGTATTGTATTAATTAAGGTAAACTGCCGCCAAAGCCCTAAATATAGTATGTAGGTACCGATTATATTGGCGCGCGCATCGCTTAAGAATTTAGTAATATATGGCAGTTCCAAGTTCGCATATGTTCGCAAATAGTAAAGATTTCAAGCTCTTCCAGCTCAAAACTTTTAAAAATAAGAACTTTAAAATAAATTTGTTAAAAGACCTACAAAATGGTTTTTTGTTAAACTTGCTAGCTCAAAAGCTAAGAGAGGTATGGTTAAAGTACATAATATCATTTTTTTATAGTTATCAAAAAACACGTATACTTATTACAATACTAATAAGTAAGATTCATGTATCTTTTCAGATATTATGAGAGACACGTGTGTGAAAAATGTTAATGAGTTTTCCCTGAAAAATTCTTTGTTTTTAGGATATTTCACGTCAAAACTTTCGATTTTGGCGTTTAACGAAAAAGACTTAACCTTTAACAAGCTATTATTCCGTTAGTATTCAATAAAGTAGAATTTTAAACCGAGAATTTGTTTGTTTATATATAAGTGACAATTTTACATATAATATTTTTCATAAATTACTTATATTCAAAGTTATTCATGAAATATCGTCAAGTGGTTTTTTTTGTTGTAAAATTGACTTTTCCACTCTGAAATTAGACGAAAAGTATTGACATTCAGTATAAACTAAAAAAAAAAACAAAGTTTTGTTAGAATTATTCAATCTATCCATTTTCAAACTTCCAGGGAAATAGTAGCCCTCGGCATGTTAACTTTAATTATAATAAATTTGAAGAAGAGGATTAGTAAGTAGAACCCAAATCCAAATTTTGGTGTCAATAGACGACCTCCGTGGTCGAGTGGTTTGTACGCCGGGTTTCATGGTGTCGCCGACTCGAGAGGTCCCCGGTTCGAATCCCGGTGGGGGCAGATGTTTGTGTGATGAATACGAGCATTTGTACTCCAGTCATGGGTGTTAAAATATGTATTTCTACATAAATATACTTATATATGTACAGTATATGTATTCTATCCGTTACCCTTGTATCCCATAACACAAGCTTTATAGTGCTTACTTTGGGGCTAGGCTAATGGTGTGTGTTGGAAATATTAGTGTACATAGTGTTTCTTATAATTTGTTATTAAATGGGTATTAGTCATTTTTCATAACAGTAATATTGTACCTATCTAATGCCGCTTCCTATATACTAAATATAATGTTAACTATAAAATTAATTGTAACTATATATTTATATTCTAAATGATGTAATAGAAAGTGACTTCAGACGTATTTCTGAAGTCATTTTTCAACTTGACGACACTGTATATAACAATACAGGGAGAAAAAAACAGCCCTTGCTGAGTTTCTTGCCGGTTCTTCTCAGTACTCGTACTCGGGAGACCCCGCCGTAGTTTTGGGAACCGATGGCGTAGCTTCTTGACCTTCACAAGTGCTTGTAACAGCCTAGACTGAATAAATGACTTTTCATTTCATTTCATTAAATTATATTATATTATTATAATTGGCGCTGTTTGTCAGAATTGCCAGGCTTTCCCGTTCTTTCTGTGCATTGATTGGACTAACATTTCGTTTTAACCAATCGAGACGAGGGAAAAGTTTCATAAATGTAGGCAGTATCTCTTTATTCTATCTATATAAACTAAATCGGAATTTGTACTGCATTAGGAAGTCTTTGTTGAACTTAATCCTGATAACTTATCGTCCTAAAAAATAATAAAAAAATGGTAAAAGAAGACAAAATATCGCTAATGTTGCACATGCCTCTTGTTGCATTGCCAATTTTCCGTCACAAAGTGCAACTAACAATTACAACATTTTACAACTAACAATTTGAATTAAGTAATTCTTAGTGGAATTTGGACGATATTTTTATTACGATATATAATACATATTAACGCGACTTTTTTGACATATCCAGAAACAACCATTACGCTGGAAGGGCAAAGAAAATGAATTTCAATTGAGTGCTTAGTTTTGCACAAATCTCTCAACCAAAAATTTGCTATCAAAAATTTAGTCTCGAGTTTATCAATATCTACGTATAATTATTGCATAATAGAAAAACAATGTCAGTCTATTAAATTCATTGTCCCTATTGCCCTTGATTTTGGATAAGACCCACCACAGGGGCACATTGCTGAGGTGCTAACGACTGAAAGTGTTTTTAAGACACATTTTGGTTTGTTTCCATTTAGGTAACTAGGTAAAAACTAACCGTGACGCAGGCGAGTTCCAAGAAGAGAGACTAGGGGTGGACGCAGTGAAATCGTCTTCCTTTTTGCGGCCGCCGTGCTCCTTGTAGTCGCGGAAGCACCGTTTGCAGCGCGTAGGCCACCGCACCTGTGGGTGGAACCCCAGCGGGCACAGTGGGTCGCCCTTAGCCAATGGGTAGTGATGCATCCTCAAAATGCTATAACCACCACCAAATGCACTTCACAAATGTCTACGTTAACACCTAAATGCCACAGCTATATTTTTATACACTCATCACAATTCTCTTTCTAAACACTTCCACTGCACCATTATCTTTATGTGATAAGCAGGTACTCAATGTTCCTCACTGCAGCAATTTAAACCAAACATTTCAATAGTTCACGATTCCTGATCGGATCTGAGATTAAACCGGCTATTTCTATCACTGCACATCGGCACCTCGTGCTGTCCATTTAGATATTGACTACAGAACGAAATATTGGATCAGGATCAATAGAACAAACGCAAATGTTTATGGAATGAGCTGCACTATTCTCTACTCTATAAATAATAATGTATTTAACTAGAGGAGCGTTTGGTTCGAGGCGCTCGCTCGTGCGTCTACACCCAACAGTGGTAATAAAAATATCCCAACGCTAGCACGGAGCCGGGCGACCCAAATTGACAACTCGCAACGAGCCACTGACCATTTCTCAGTGGACTTTCTACGTGCGTAAATGCTAGCTCATGCGGGGGCGGGTTATAATTCGCTGTCTCGGGTGGAGCTCGATGTGAGTCGGGTTATTGTGATAATGTATTGGTGGAGCATGCGAATGCTGTATGCGCTAAAGGTGGACGCAGGGTGGTTCGCGGCGCATGCGGCGAGAGAGCCGGCTTTCCGGGGACTGGCTCGGCGCGGGCAATAAGCCAACACTTGCCGCGCGCCCGCTGTGCCACTTATGCTCTATTACACCATATGCCGTTCACCACCGTTCGATTCCCGAGTTCCCAACCGTCAATAAAAATAAAACAGAGTCGCTAATAAAACAAGTCAGTCAGGGATACCACCACCCCGGCGCGGCAAGCGCGACAGATGAAGAAATGCTAAGAAAAAAAAAACGCCACAGCTTAAGTCAGGGTAAGTATACCTTGAGATTTTTAAGCTGTGCCGTTTTTTGTGAGCAATGTTTTAAATTTAAACCTAAGTCCTTATGAAGGTTTTATAAACAAATTTTGCACGTGTGTTGTTTCCGAGATGTATTTTTGTGCGCAGTGACTTTTGCGCGGTTTACCATACCAGTCCGAATATAAAATTGGCACGTCATCGTCGCTTTATGAATGGGCGTTGATGTCAAAGTATACGCGTATACGCTAAAAATATTACATGAAAATATTTTATGAACGTCACTATCACTCTAAAGACTGAGAAAGTGAAATCAGTGAAATAGGTAGGTAGCCAAAACCACAATCATAATAATAATTTCCACTATTTAATTATCATACATTTAATAAAAAAAAAAAAAAGAGTATTTTACATTAAATTCTAATTTATATACTTACTTAATCAAATTAAATACAAATGATCGACTACAACTTTCTCAAATATTTATGGTAATTTTTCACTATAATTTCATAAAAAGTAAGTATCACTGTTATAATGCGTTTCTTTGTTACACTTTATTAATGATTTTTAAAACATAAATGCAAATATTTGTGATAAAATAATGATGTAGTATACAATAGGTAAAAAGATGGATACACAGTAGCATACAATGTAAGAAATATTCCAAGTAAATAAAATCCTTTATCACTTTTATAGTACAGAAATAAACATAGAATAGGCTGTAACTATTTGACACATAAGATTGGTTCGATATCATTTCGACTCGAAATACTTGGTTTTATTTGTAATTAGCAGAAGTCCCCTTCATGTAATGGTTCATCTTCTTTCTTGTCATAAATAAGTGTTTTGTATATAACTTCCTCGAAGTGCAGGGCGTTTAGGCCCTTGGGCTCCGCAACTTTGATCTTTACGTCACCAGGGTAGAGTATCTCACCCTTGTTCTTTGTGCTGCCCATCACAAGTGATTTTTGAATTTTTTCGATGCAGGGAATTTCTGTTAACAAAAACAAAAATCGTTACTCTAATTTTTATATTCATTTATTTGCAGAATAAAAGGCTATGCTGTTGAGTTTTTTGATGAACCTTGGTCCCCATTATAGATTTAAATTAAAAAGTACTTTTTTTTAAATATCTAGGAGTTCCATGAATTGATACATATTCACAATATGTTTATTTGTGCTACACAGGCATATTAATCACTATTTGGGAGAATTCAAGTTGCAATCAAATAGTGAAAAAGCACTAGTGTTTCCTATGCTTGTCAAATAATGAAAATGGTATGCCCCTGCCAAAAAGACAGCGAAACAAAGCGGAGTCGTCACACTCTAGGCAGATGTGGCGAATGCTTTCAAATTTGAATTAGACGTTTATAAATATTTCTTCTATTTCTCTGTTAAAATTTTCTAAATTTTTCAGTACATTTTTAAAATTCTGATTAGGCTATACTTGTGGGCACCTACCATTACCTATATTGAAATTTTTGAACTATTTGTCATTTTATTTATTCAATGTGGCAAATAGTTTGGTAAAAAATAAGAAAAATACAATAGGTTTGACTTTTGTGACTGAGGGATTAAAGTATTCCTACATTTGTTGTCTTTAGTCTTCAAAATAACGCCGTTGACGGCTCGCTTTGGGTTTGTTCAAAAGTTGGTCCGCCTTCGTACATTTCTTTGTGCTTGATTAAAACGACACCGTACCTAAACTACAAAATAAACACGCAACGCTTGCTCTAGGTTCATTGTCTGTTTGGCAAGAGCATTAGAGAGTATCATGGAATATGGAATCTCTATTTGTGAAATGACATCCGTTGTAGCCTGGGTTTGAGACGATGGCGTTCCATATAAAGCTTTGAATCGTTAATCTTATTAGTATGACAAAAAAAAATATGACAAAGAGTTATGTGTACCTATGTGAAACATATTTGGTAAACTTGCTGTATGTAAAATAGTAATAATATTCTTTGTTGATACACCATACAAGACACAAAAATAAATAAAAAAAAACGGACATGTGCTGTTCACATGCGATAGAAGTTAAACCTACAAAAATGTGAACATGTAAAAGTCATTCATGGCTAGGTAGTAGTACGTCTTAAAGACAACACTTGTGTTCAAAATTAATTATGTTATACTTAAATTGTTTCGAAAAATAAATAATAGCTTAATAAAAAAAAACAAAAATGTGCGTTATGTTTAAACACATTTTTAAACTAATCACCTTTTTTTTTACACACATTAATTAACCTAGCCCCAAAGTAAGCACTATAAGGCTTGTGATATGGGATACTAGGGTAACGCATACAAAAATGTGAACATGTAAAAGTCATTCATGGCTAGGTAGTAGTACGTCTTAAAGACAACACTTGTGTTCAAAATTAATTATGTTATACTTAAATTGTTTCGAAAAATAAATAATAGCTTAATAAAAAAAAACAAAAATGTGCGTTATGTTTAAACACATTTTTAAACTAATCACCTTTTTTTTTACACACATTAATTAACCTAGCCCCAAAGTAAGCACTATAAGGCTTGTGATATGGGATACTAGGGTAACGCATAGAATACATATACTGTACATATATAACTATTTTTATATAGAAATACATATTAAACATCCATGACTGGAGTACAAATGTTCGTATTCATCACGCAAACATCTGCCCCCACCGGGATTCGAACCCGGGACCTCTCGAGTCGGCGACACCATGAAACCCGGCGTACAAACCACTCGGCTCGGCCACGGAGGTCGTCAAATGAAATGAAACATTAATATACTATTTAAGTTATATTTTTTGCAAATAAAAATAAGCTTTATTACTTAGACACCAAGTTTCATAAATGTTCTTGCGGTCGCACGCTCCATCTAAGGAATTATACGCAAACTATTTTAAAGGTTACATAATTTAAAGCACGCATGCTTATATGCTAGTCTTGAACACACTACAGGCAGAAGCACTACCGTAATCGTATTAGAAAATGCTTAATTTCTCGATAGATGGCGGAACTAAATCGAATTAAAAACCAAATTATTTACATATTTTACAAAGATTAGATAGTAGCTACGAGTATGTGGCGATTAACGAGCAAGAAATAAACTGTAATAAACAAATCAGACGATATCCATTAAATAAATATTGTGCAACATCATATAATATTATTATTCAAAATTAGTTACTAAAAAGAATAAACTACGATAAAATAATCAGCTAGACCCGACAAAACAAAAAAAGTTTATTTCATAAGTTGACTTGACCGGAGATTGAACCCGGTACCCCGTGAGATTGCGGGATTGATTGATTACAAAAAAAACTGCCTTGCTTTTGCGATAGATATAAAAATGATGAAAAAACTCCACAAACTCATAATACGTATATAAGACACCACTGTTGTTGTGATGCCTTTTCTCAAGCTTTGTACCCCTCCAAATGTTCCATGACTCTTGAGAGTCATAAAAGTTTTTCCAGTCAAACGTCCATGGACACTTGAGTGTCCTATGTAGGCGGTCGTGTTTTTTGTTTATTAGCACTCTTTAGAAAACATCTTTGTCGATGCTTGTGGTCTCTTTAGTTTAGGCAAAATATGTAGATGGCGTTGTGAATAAAAATCCAGTGAGAGCACTCTAAATCTAAAGCTTAGAGTGCTAAACTTTAGATTTTTTTACATCAGTTTGAAGTACGCGCTCCGTGAAAAATGGTGCCATTGTGGACGTTTCACTATTTATTTTAAAAGTGCGAAAGATTCACATGTTCCTCAGGATTTACCCGTGTTAGTGATGTGAAAAGATCATAGTTTTATTTGCATTACAATTAAAAACCTACAAAAATGTAAACACGTAAGTCCTTCAGCCGCTCACGGCTTAATTTGTTACCCGCTATTTTTATTTTATTTCATTTGTTATGTTATCTTAGGTTTATTTCGAAAGATTTATTTTTAAAAAAATACTGTAAAAAATTGGAAAGGAAAGGATTGTTGATAAAAATCAAGCCTGTATTAATAAACAACTTAGGCACCTACCAAACTTTTAATACTTAACTATTAAGGTATTGTAAAATAATGGGTAAAGGAGATTGCTCAGCTTCCATACATGTTTGGCCTAAAGACCATAATCATGAAAAATTGTTTCTTAGATTCGAAATTATATATAAATTTATATATAATTTCGAATCTAGGAAACAATTTGAAAACGGTTCTACAGTAATTACTGTAGAAACGAATATTAATGACGGACACCCTTGAGAACTTCTATAAAACATATACACTGAACATATTAAAATATTAAAAAAACAAATAAGTTATAAAGTAAACTAGGGAAATCAAGCCAAGTACCGAAATTATGGATTAGATTCAGGTATATAGAGCATGTAGATTAACAGATAGTTGCCTGTTTTTAAAGTTAATGCATAAGAGTAACTTTTAAAATTAGGTGTCATCTATGCATTTCCGGTTATAATAAGGTACTCTGTGACAGAAACTGTGTGATGGATTGTGAATGAACCACAGATTAGAGAGAACTTTTAAACTCTCGTTAACCAAAGAAAGCTAAAAGATTTAGGTTATATAGCCATATATTCAGTAGCTTCATTATTTTTGTTATGTTTTTAATATAACCATATTTTAGATTTTAGTGTATCACACCTTATAATTTTATTAATTTATAGTCAGGCAACGTAGGCCCATAGATAGACCTTAAAGTCTAAGTCAATATATACAGATTAAAATGTGTTTATGGAAGGGTTTGGCGAAAAATGTATGGCAATAGACTTTATGATGTCGCCTACCATCTATAAGTCTGAGCACATTTGCATGTAGTGAAAACGATAATATAGTTGTGGATAATAATACCACAGTGTAATAAAAAAAAATATTTATTTTATCGATCTTTACAATATAGATTAGTTTTTATGTTATATAAACAACTTCGATCAGTCTTTGGCTGAATGTTACTACACCCATAGCCATTAAAAATGATTCGTATGTTTTCCAAACCGGTAAAATTAAAAGTCCTTTTTAAAGTAAATTATATTATACAAAGGTGTCCGTTCAAATCTAATGACTGTAAATTAAATTATAAATTACGCCAAGAATTACCGTGTATATCTATATTTTTTGTGCATTTGGGCCAATTTGAGCAATCTCCTTTAAATATTATACTTAAATTGTTTGGAAAAATAAAAAAATAGCTTAATAAAAGAAAAAAAAAACAATTTAAAAAATAAGCGAGCTCTGGATCGAACCACCGATCATTTGGTGTGGACCCCAAGACCGTATTCGTCCGGCTATTTGTCTCAAATAGTAATAGATGATAAAATTACGAATACATATCTTGTGTCAAATACTGTACTTCCGTTTCATCGAATCTCAACTCACAACGATACTAAAGAAGTTTTCACTTCAAAAACATGATAAATGAAACGTACACAATATAGGCGGCCTTATTGCTAGGCAGCAATATTTTCCAAGCAACTCATAATAGATAGATAAATAAATATGAAGTATGAAAAGAGGGGTGTAACAATAGATAATAATAAATAATTTTATGAATTCTTTTTGCATTACCTTCTGCATCATCTTTGCTATAATTCTCCAGTTGACTGGTAGAGAATGCCTAATGGCATTAAGTCCGCCATTTGTACACTCATTTGTGCAATAAAGTATAAATAAACAAATAATACTTAATAGCAATGACAAGAAAACCGTTATATCTAGAAAAGGAAAGAGAAAGGGTGAAAGAATATTATTGAACTTCATTGTTGCGATAGGAAATAACTCCGAACTTAATTCGTAAACGAGTTCAAAGTGCGAGCCTTTCGAATAGTTTCCGGCAGTGAGTTCCATAGACGTACAGAATGCACAAAGAACAAATAGGAAAACAAATCAGTTGAATGACTTGGAATTTCAAGGGTTAGGTTAGAAGACGATCGCAAGTGCGATGTGAAGTAGAGGAGAGAAACGAGAAGCATTCTTTTAACTAATGTGGAGAAGTAGGTAGGAAAAATATGAAGTAAAGAAGTGTAAGAGTGTGTAAGTCCCTGCTCCGGCGAATAGGGAACCAGTTAAGTTTGGAACGGAAATGTGATACGTGGGCATATTTACGGACGTTGAAAATAAATCGGATACATAAGTTCTGTAGACTTTTTAGCTTATCAAGGAGAGAGGGTAGATCTTCAGAAAGATCGGTGAAGCAGGTATCAGCGTAGTCAATAATGGAAAATAAAAGAGTCTGCGCCAGAGTGATTTTGGTGCTGGTGGACAAAAAGTTGCGTAATCAGTTGAGCGAGCTGTATGCAGCAAAAAAATCGTTCTGACCGCCTCCACCTGTGGATTCCAAGAAAAACACTGATCAAAGACCACATCAAGATTTCTGACAGTGGTTGACCAAGGAACAATAATTCCGTCGAAGGCAATGGGAAGCAAATCCTCAAAATCAATCCTGGAAACGAAGTAAGAGTTGCCAATTATTAAAGTTTGTGTCTTAGTTGGGTTCACAGTAATACCGAAAGACTTACTCCAGTTACTAATTAAAGCGAGATCGGCATTGCTAGTCGCTATTGCACCTGAAAGTTCTCTTCCAGCAGAACGAATCCGGTACGATAGGTACACCAAACATGGTAAGAAAAAGCGGCTGCAGAATATTGCCCATGTTTAGAGGCGAAGGTAGGGGAGGAGACAATTATCAGATCAAGCAGAAACGGAGTATAGTTAGGAAAAAGGTCAGTTTCTTTAGACGGAAGAATATGTAAATTGCAGGAATTAATCACCGAAAGTAACTTTTTGGATCGATAATCCAAATTTACGGGACATATGATGTATAGGTATATAATTATAGTATAGGTATAAGAGGGGATAAAATTTTCAAGAAGCTTTTCGATGACTTAAAATAGTCGACTCGCAACGAATGGCTGTAGAAAACACCTAGAAGAATTTTATTGTGAGACAAGGATATTTTTAATTGAGAGATGATCTGCACTTTCTGTGGGGTGGTGGCTGTGAAGATCGACTAAGGATAGTAAAAGGGATATGAGAACGAAGATAAATGGCATAAGTGCATTTTCTAAAGATATATTTTAGCTTCAAAGTGCAATGTAACAGTAGGCTATGGATTCCACAGACTTAATCTATTGCATTTACGTTGCGTAATAAGTTTGTGATAGAGAAAACTCGTACCTGCATCCGTCCTGATTGAGTCCCGTCTGCTGACTGGACGGCTTGAAATTTATTCAAGTAAAATTTTCTTTAGATTTAAACGCCTAGCAGTTAAATGCTTAAAAAATAAAAAAATTGTAAAGTTTGTGATACATAAATTCGCGGGGGGTCCGCGACTTCATCTGCGTGGAAAATTGGTTTCCCATACAAACTTCCAGCAACCTTTTTGTTAAAAAGAATAAATTTCAGGATGATTTTAATTTTATAGTACAAAAACGTCTACTGCGCAAGTTTATTTGTCTGTGGTTTTTCTCAAGAAGTTTGTTGCTACCATGGATTGTTAGTCCATACCGCTACCCATACAATGGCCCTTTTGTTGTCTGTAAATGCTGACCTGATGTAACGACTTTCTTCATGGGTGTCCCAAGGGCGGTCTCTATGATGCGAATGTCTCGAACGAGCGCCTGGAACTCCGACGGTGTCAGGGAGCAGACGTGGTCTGTGCCTTTCATGCTTCTGTCCAATGTTATGTGCTTCTCTAACACCTGTGAATTAAGAAAAAAGGTTATTTAGTCACTACTAGCGGCCGCTCGGGACTTCATTTGTGTAAATTTTGGATATATGAGAATTCCTTAGGAACCTACTATTTTTCGGGATTAAAAGTCTCAATCCAGGTAATAAACTATGTGTGCCAACATTTATTCAAATCCGTTTAATCCGTGATGGAGAACGAAACATACAAAGTACAAATACAAAAACTTTGACATTTTATAATATTAGCAGGACACTATTTCCATGCGAAATGAGAAGGCAAGACGTTGTTTTGTCCTATAATAATATTTCCTAACGACCAATTGCAGTAGGAACTTATCGTGTAGAGTTGTAAATAAAGTTTTCTTAGATTTTCTAATTTTCTGCTCAACTCAACTTTTTTATATTGTATCGCATTATTAAATAAATTAGATTTAAAGTAAAAGTAGGAAAGTCGCCTTCAATATTTTTCAGTAGGAATCTTCTACTAAGTACCAGACTTTTTAAAAGACAGATAAAATCGGTAAATGCATTCTTTAGAAAGGGAATAAAGGGATTCATTTTTATATAGCTACCTAAATAGTTATGAAATTGCCAAGATAATTTCGGTAAGCATTTCAGTATTTTCAGGAATTATCAAAAGAAATAATAACAGCTGTTACCATAGACGTACAGTCCAGTGGTGTTGATTATAGCATGATTCTCTAAACTTAAAACTAAATTTAACATCAGTCTCTCCTTTTCATTCTGTACAGATAATGACAAAGATACACAGTTGTCAAATTTAAGTTTAGGATTAGATAACCCTGGCAAAATCGACACCAGAACCTATATTATTAGGTAATATTAATATTATCTCCCATACTTAGTAACATAAGCTATTTAGCAAAGCTGTTATTATCTTTAAAGTGGCAGTTCTTCCTTTTTTCGATAGCAAATACATCTGTTACAAAGTACGAAATAAATAAAGTTTTTTGAAGGAAACCATACTAAATTACAGAAAATGTCACAACTGTATCGGATAATTGTTATTTAATCCTTGAAAGGTTTCTCACACAAGTCAAATTTCATAAACCAATTACCTAAGCATTAGGTACGAATTATGAATACCTAATTCCTATTATCTGCAAACTAAAACCAAAACAGTATATTCTACGAATGTAACAATGGCGGTATACAGCAGTTATCAATATTGGCATAGCTTGGTATTATAGCGGCACAATAAAAGTCAAGTACAGATAGTAGTAGGTACTTTCATGCAGTATTAAAATAACCAATTAAGTACCTTATTATAACGATAAGCCAAGCCATAGATACTTTATTATTCTTTAATAAAAAGGTGTCTGAATAAAGCGGTATAAACAGGTTTAAAACATTTCACTGTGAAAATAGTACCTAACAATAAATAGTACGTCCACTAATAAATTGATGAAGCAATACAAATGGCCATGAATCTTAATACTATGATAAAGGTTTCATTTTGCTTGACAGCATCGATATGTATCGTTATAAGTATGTAGGTATGCGATAATGATGCTAAAAGGAAATATATTTCTATATCCCGAGCTGACAAGGCACTTTTACAAATTACCTAATAAATATTTTTTCGAGAAGTAGATGTTCCCAAATTAATGAACAGGTACCAACGTAATACCTACGTGATTGGGTAATAGTAGATATAATAATTTTGTATGAAATGCGTACCTAAATACTAGAAAGTTTCTAAATAATAGAAATAAGACAAAAATATTATTGAACCGTCTTCACCGCTGTCTCTTCCAATGCCACCCATATGACATCCCACCTCTTAATATTGAGATGCATTCGACGCGGCCTTGGGTTTTGTTACATACATTGCATTTTTTTATAACTATAACTCCTTGTCACAAAACAACGATTTAAAAAAAACAGTAATAAACGAGTTAATTTATATTATTCGCAACAACGGAGCGTAGTGCAAGTTCGAAATTTGGTCAACTAAGGCCGGATTGTCAAATTTATACTCCTTCCATTGCTTAGATTTCTTATTCGGAAAAAAGATTTAGCTTTTGCCACAGTGGCACTTTAGCATTAAAGGTGATCGCGGAAGTAGTTAATGATGTAATTAGATGTCAACCTTACCTTCGCGCCCAAAGCGACAGCAGCAAGAGCCACGGGTGTTCCGACCTCGTGACCCGAGTATCCAATGGGAACATCGAAGGACTGCTTGTAGTCTTGCAGCACATTCAAATTGCAGTCTTCGTAAGGCACGGGGTACGCCGACACGCAATGCAGAAGGCAGAACTGTTTGTGATGTTTTGATAGTATGTCGTATATAGATTTGACAGCCTTTTTGTCGACCATACCCGTAGATATGATCAGTGGGACGTTCTTAGACGCTGCGTACTTCAGGAACAGGGGATTGTTCGAGTCGCCTGACCCTATTTTGATAAATGGTGCTTTGTTGTTTACTAGAAAGTCGAACGATACCTGTAAACCAGTTTGTTAAATAAGTTTTTATGTTGGGTAAGATGTCGATAGTTATTCAGCTCAAACCAGTTTTGGATGAAGTAGTTTAAATAGTGGTATTATTTTAAGAAGGTTTTTTTGCATTAGGTAGGGACTTAAGAACCTAAAATGTGTACCTAATGTTCCTAAAATGTTTCCTTTGTATTGTTTGAGAAAGCGTTCTACATTAAAATACTATTTTTATCCTCTTGACTATTTGTGTAGGTATAGGTTCATCAAACGATAATATGTTTCTTTAATTGGTTTATAATAACGCTAGCTTACCATATCCATTGCAGATGCAGCTAAAGGGATCCCGACTTCTTTGGCATATTTCAGTAATTCTCTGAACTGAGATTCCGTAAATTCTAAATGTGTTTTGTGATCTCCATAAGTTTTCCCCCAAGAATTTGGGTTCTCATATGGCCTTTCTAGGTATTTCTTGGTAAACTTTTCTTTTAGACATGTTTTTTGGAATTTCACACAATTTGCACCGGCATCCTGAAAATATGCATAATTGGTTAATAGGTAACGAATTGATTGAGTTAGGTATTACCAACGTTATCTCCAAAGAAAATAAAAGTAAGAATATTCCTGAACGTCTATTTATGACAACAAAGATAAGTGAGATATAAGTAGTATATACAATTCGAACAGATAATGTTAATAACTTGGCGATTGATCAAGTCATTTCATAGTATTTAAGGTGATTTAAGTCTGAATTAAAAAGAAAAAAATGCAGGTCTTTTGTTATGATGTTCTTTGTATCATATAATTCAACCAGGTAGTACCTATATACAACAAGTTTAATACAACTAGCAACACAAGTACCTAAGGTCAACGGAGGTTGTAAAATTAACTTCTTTGTTTGTATCGTTTCCCGGTTGTGATTTTACTAACAAAGTTCACTTTGAATAGCACTCACCTTAGCCGCTTTTATCAACTTTTTCGCGATTTCAATGTCACCTTGGTGGTTTTGTCCAACTTCCGCGATTATAAAACACGGATTGTTGCCGCCTATTTTGATATCCTCGTTTATTTTGACTTCCACCATGTTCACAGCTGATGTTTGTATTCCATAGGAACAATTTAAAACTAAACACTAGATATGGGCACCTCTGTTGTTTGAGCGTCGTAAAGGGAGTGTCGGCCTAACGCGAGGGTTTATCGACCTCTCGTTCAAGTTCAGATTGAGTAAATAAGGTCAATTCAATACAAAAGCGAGCTGCCTGGTGCGCTCGCGCCACTCTAGTGAGCCGCGCCTGCGTCGCCGCGGCCACTTCGCATGATAATTGATAAAAAAACCAGTATACCGATCCACGTTAATGTTAAACAACACACATGCGCTCTCTTTCTAACAGAAACACACCAAATAAGTAAGACACACACTCGGAATAAAATAATTTATTCAGTAATAGCAAAACAGACGCTTACCAGTAACGTAGGTATGTACATTAATTAATAGTAACTATTTACAATACATCAGTTACTGTTCTGACACCTACAGCTTAAGTTTATGTTTTGTGTATGTATTTTTATTTACATATTAGTTACAATCAGTGTTGCCAACTCGGATTTTGAAAAATGCGTAGGCTGATGAGAAAATTACGTAGAATTGGTAAATTTTGCATATGAAAAGTACGTAGATCTACGTACTTTTTTCTGAGTGAAATGAAGAAGTTAGGTGAAACCGAATTAAACGAGTATTTTATTATACAATTTCTTTAAAAACGGACGATAGAACAAAGAGTTCTTGGAGAAGTCGCTGCATTGGAAGCATAAATGCTTTCAACTATACCATACCACAGGATGGTAAACCATGCTGTGGTAGACATTTACCATCAGACACAGACACTGGTGGATGTCGATTCTGGCATGATTCTCTAAATTTAAAACTAAATTTAACATCAGTCTCTCCTTTTCATTCTTTATAGAGAATGACAAGGATACATTGTTGTTAAATAGGCTAGTTGACACTTTTTGCAATTATGTTTTGAAATGTTAATGATTGTTCTATCAGACCGAAAAAAAATGTATTTTTTTACCTACAAGACATACAAAAACGCTGTATATTCTATAGACTTATCTATGCTATGACGTCAAAACATTTGTAAACGAACACACGCAAGCACGTAGGAAATAAACTTTCCGAGTTAATATTATAAAACCATGATTTCTAATAGATCACATGAAAAATTTAGTAGTTATCATGATACACTTGGTAAAAGACTAGAAAAGTTGTGGTTTAAATTGCCAAGAGAAATAAACATACTTCATGAACACATGTTTAAAACTTGCTAAATCCTGTAACTTTATCCACTGAAAGTCATTTTTTTTTTGCAAAGATCAATTCGATGTAAGTACTCATTGAATAATATTACACTTTAAAAATACAATTTTTAAGGTTATGAATGTACCTACTAAGTTAGAGTTTTGTCGTTTCTGCTTTCACAAATCCTGCGTCCAGCATTAATTTAGTCAACAAAACCAATAACGGGAACCCTTTCTACAAGATACAAGAGTTTTTAGAGACATTTTTATAAGAAATAAACATTTGTATAGTTTTTAAGTAAAGTAACGGAAAATATTCTTCTATATTCTAGTGAATTAAGTTATTTTACAAATTTGAAAAAAAATAAGAAAATACGTAGATTCTGGGATTGAAGTTAGTAGGTTTGCAGAAAAGGCCTAAAATACGTAGATCTACGTAAAAAGACGTAGAGTTGGCAACACTGGTTACAATTCAACAGCACTAATGTTCTTTCTATTGTATGGTTAGATTCAAATTGCACATGAGGCCATTTGCACAACATCTTTGTGGTTTTTGAACTTGTCGCCGATGGCTCTGTTTACTCTGGACTCGGTGGGTTTGCCGAGGAAATTGGAAATGTATCGGCCGGCTTCTATGAGTTTCACCAGGTCTACGTCAGTGTTGACCCCGAGTCCGTACAGGAAGTAAACCAAGTCTTCTGTGGCAAGATTCCCGCTGGCGCCTCGAGCGTACGGACACCCACCCAGCCCAGAGATGGAGGAATCCACAGTGGTGATGCCGAACTGGAGAAAAAAATGCGTAATAAAAATCGGTACCTATATTATGAAAGTCTGTGTACAAGCGACACGGCCAAGGAGGTCGTCGATAGAGGAGTATGATTATAATAAGGATGATCACGGGGTAAAGAAGATGATAAAGTAAATGAATTTGTATTTACTCCGTCAGTTGGATTATCAAAAAATAAGCAAAAATGAAGCACTTCAAAGTTTGGGAGAGTGGGGGCTCGAGACGTCACTTTTCTACAAAAATTCTACAAAAATGTGACGTCACGTGACATTTCAAATCAAGAATAAAGTAAGTTATCATTTATAAATATCACTTTAGTTGCTTACCTCTAGTCCAGCAAGCAGGTTAGCCAGTCCCTGGCCATATGTATCGTGAAAGTGGAGGGCTAATCTATCGGGTGAAGTTACCGCGAGCACTTCCCGTAGTAACTTCCGTACAGAACCCGCAGTGCCCACGCCTATTGTGTCACCCAGAGAAACTTCGTAGCATCCCATGGAAATCAATTCTTCTGTTATCTATAAATAATATGGATATCAGTCTGCGGTGTAAGACTTCTAGATTGATGCGTAAAAAACGGAAGAATGGTTTATTTCACTATGATCACCTCATCATCACCTCTATGGTCATCATAGGCGACACTTTTGTGTCTTTTGGTAACCCTCGAATATAACCACCTGGGTGTTCATTGGTGATCCCAACAAAATTATTATTTTGGTATCCTCAAATCACCTTCAAGAAAATATCACTAACGCAACTTTTAAATTTAAAAAAAAGCTTCATGCATACACATATGTAACACTTACACAGTAAAATGCGAAACAAAGTCTTATGGCTCAATTACACTTGGTCATTAGCCCGTATTCGGGTGCACGAAAGACAACTCGAAATCGGGCACCCGAAACAATATTTACACTGTGTCGGCTAATCAAAACGAAAATTACCCGAATACGAGTGTATCGACTCCGTTCATTTGTCGTTTACCCGAATTTCATTGGCGTATTCAGGCTACAGACTATGTGTAATTGAGCCATTATGTGTATTTTAGACAGGTAGGTGAATAAAACTTTTTAAAATTATATTATACTTTGATCTACAGTTTATTACTTTTGGCTACTCTGGGTATAAAGCTATCATTCTGAGCTGTTACATCACAAGAATGGCTGTTATACGTCAAATGCCAGTAGAGTGGACCTTAGATGAAGTGGACTCCAGGGAGTCCGGAGATCAGGATTAGGAGGTTGCCGCCAAATGTCAACTCCCGACAGGATTTGGAGGTAACCGCTAAATGTTAATTTTTTATAGAGTAGACAAAAGTAATAAGTCGTGGAGCCGTGCTTAATGTAATTTTAAAAAGTTGAATTTACTACATAACTAATATACACATAAGTACCTTTAGTACGAGTTTGAGCTCACGAAAACTGTCATAGTTTTCGTAATTGTAAATTATGTTTCTATGTCCATTTTGGTGAAAAGTAACCAAATATACTCAAAATTTAAGAAGACGCAAATGATTTAATGATAGAATTTAAACACTGTTTATTTGTATTATAACGAAAACAATAAAATCAGAACCCTTAGTACGAGTGCGAGCTCACGAAAACTATCATAGTTTTCATAATTGTATAACTCGTACTAAGGGTACTGATTTTGTTTCACATTTTACGGTTGAGGTGCTACCTACATAAGTGTGTATTGAACCTTTATTAAATTTAAAAGTTGCGTTTGTGATATTTATTTGAAGGTGATTTGAGGATACTAAAATAATAATTTTGTTGGGGTCGCCTATGAACACCCAGGTTATTATATTTGCGGGTGATCAAAGGACACTAAAGTTTCACCTATGATGACCCAGGTGATATCGCGGTGATCATAGAGGATCAGACTGAGGAATGGGCCACAATCCAATAAGTGACCCAGTGCAGATTGGGCTAACAACTGGAAATGCAGTAAGGACCAACAACTTGTACTGTGCATTCATATGCACGGGAGATAATAACAAATATCAATAACTATAAAAAAAGGCATTGCTTGTTACTCAGCAGATGTTTTTGTGGTAATTATATTGACATAGAAGTCGAAGTTAGATATCGTTGTTATGTTTATAAGGAAAAAAGGAATAATACATTTTTGGATCATGAGAATCGGGCCCACTAGTAGTGTTCGAGCGACCTGCCGTTTGGTACACAGGTACCAGGTACAGGTACTTTAGGATAAAATAATATTTAAACTGGGATTTGAACAATTACCATACAAAAAAAATATGTTATGATGAGAATTGCCCGCCTAAGGTAGGGATTTTAAAGATTCACCGCTCAAAAATATTGGATCCCTTGCTGCGATCAGGATTCGATATACACTCAACTTTAAAATATTTATTTGCTCCCTTAGTAAACAATCTAATGTTTAACCTAAGGTACCTGTGTACCTCGGTTTTTCGGTTGAATCGGAAATGTAGACGAAAGTGGACGGACGTCCACTATATGTATATTATTTACCTACCTTTGCAATAGTTTTCGGACTGATCGGTCCATCATATGGACAACCTACTACGCAAGATACATATCCTCGCACCCTCAAGCCATCTTTGACAGCTTGATCAGCTATTAGTTTGAATCTGCGTAACCCTTCTTCTACTGAGCAGTTTAAATTCTTTTGCGAGAATCCCTCTGACCCCGCAGGAAAAATAGCTATCTCTTCTACATTACATTGTCTCTAGGAAAAGAAAAAAACGAAGTCAGTATAGTAAGACAAATTGCTCATGGTTTATCGACATTCTTTGACATACTACCTACTAGAAAATATCAACATAATCCAATCACATTGAACAGACAAGTGCAACATTATTATTGCTGCAGAATTGTAATTATGTTATCTTTAATGTGTTCTGGGTAAGGCTTAAGTGAAGTCACAGTATTTATAGGACATTTGTTAGTCAGCAATCCTAGAAAGACTAGTTTCTGGGTTTGCATGTCAAAATATTCTTCCTGAGCTTCGTAGCACATTTCATGCTAGAATACTTAAATCGATTTTTAAATGAAAACAGTCACTCCCTCCTCCGGTAATATGCTTTATATATAAGTAGAAACTATTCCATAAATGTCAAAAAAGTTAGCGAATAGGCCGGCTGGTAAGCATGGCTTTGCACGAAGCCAATTTTTCGAGCCATAGATAAATTTTTAGGAATCTATCGGGAACAAAACAAATTTTTCACACAGTCTTCTAAGGTATAGTCTCAAATTTTTTTGTAGGATTCATTTGTAGGCAAACATAAATCTATTCTAGCGGTATGGTAAGCAGCCTCTATAGCCTGTAGAGTAGACGCTTGCAATACCAACTCCGCGAAGCAAGTGTCAATATGAGATAAGCAAATATCTTGGTAAAGACTGATTACCTCTCTTAAAATTGACTGAATATGATTCGTGCTTAGGTATGCCTAAGAAGGATGCCCGTAGCTCTTGGTAGCTTATTTGCTCGTTTATTTCGATCATATAGCGTACAGCGTCGTTGATAGCGGTAGACAGACGACAATCGCAAAATCCGTAACTGCGATTAAGAAGGCTTCTTTTGAAATCACCTGCACCAGCTGATCAGTGACCGTCAACATTGATGTCGCCGCGGCCGATCGGATGGTGAGGTGACTTACGGTTACGGTGCGTAATGGTAGCCATACACACTACGAGAAATCGTTACGATCAGACTGTACAGTTCGAACGGTACCGATAAATCGTAGCGTGTATGTTATAAAACTGCACAGTTTCCTATACGTACGCCACGTACGATAAACTGTTCCGTTCGAACTGTACAGTCTGATCGTAACGATTTCTCGTAGTGTGTATGGCTACCATAAGGCACTGATGGGCAGTGGTCGTCGAAAGCAAGGGTGAGGCACTTGCTGTCAGTCTTGTTATAGCTAAGGCATTTGATAGGATCTGGCACATGGCACTTCTGACGAAGCTTCCATCATACTGACTATTATGGACGCTGCGATGGGTTATGCAAATGGTTTGCCAGTTTTTTTTTAGAGCGCAGCATACGAGTTTAAGTTGACGGCGTCTCTTCTGACACTGAATCCATAAATGCTGGCGTCCCACAAGGATCAGTTCTGTCGTCCACACTGTCCATTTTGCATAATGATCTGTTATTAAATAACAACAGCATTGATTGCTATGCAGATGACAGTACTGACAACACTTTTTATACTGGTAAGCTAACTATTCCTCGGATCCAAGTAGACGAGTGTAGAGTCTAACTTCAGCCTAAGAGTGAGACGTTATTGGGCCAAGTCTCAAATTGGGCGGACATATTTTGTCTGATTCAACCCGGCAAAGACAGAAGTGTGTGCGTTCACCGCGAAGAGATCCCCATTCGTAGCAGCACTATCGAACTTTATTTCGAACACAATCTTCAACTCTCAACAGCAGATTGAGAAAGTACTTCAAGCCTTAACGCCGGATGTTACTTTACAAAGCACAGGTCGGACCGCATATTGAGTCCTGAGGCCCAAGCATGAACTTTGACAGCTTCGTCAACGCATTGTAACGTCAGTTTAGTTCAATTCAACACGTAATTGCAATTGCAAGCTAAACAAAAAACAATGACAATAATTTTCTGCTACTCTTATGCTTTGAATTTTTCATTCCACAGCTAGTTTTCTGCTTGAGTAGTACTCAAGGAATTTAAATGATTCCACGTCTGTGGTAGGACAGACGCGCAAACTACCCCAAATACACGTCGGCGGACGCATCCGGAGATTGCATCTGCAGAATGCGTCTGTCGACGTGTAGTGGAGGGATTAATCATACTTCATGTTATATTTATATTATGTATATATTTTTCACTTTATGATTACAATTTCAACTGTAACCCAAGCAGTATTAGCTATGCTCAGATGCATTTAACCTAAGATTCCAAGGTTGTTGTTAAATTTCTACTATATTGTTCTGTTCTGTAATGAAACATTATGAGCGTAAATTATATACAAAAAAATATTTGTTTTGAAGCAGCAGAACAAATTTGAATCAATTTTTCAGTAAAGAACCATGAAAGAATATTTAATAATTCTGAAATGACATGTAGAAATCTTAAGAGTAGGTACAAAGAGTGTGACTTACAGCAACTTCATATCCCTTTAAGTTTGGTACTAACACAGGGTAGTTAATGCCAGGAGCTCTATTAATATTTTTCATTACTTCTTGGCCATCACTCATTTGCTGTACCCATTTTGGACTTACAAAGCTGCAAAATGTTAGTAAATAAATTTTTAGAAGTTCCTAAATATTTTTGAAAATACCCACCAGTATAATAGTTTTGAAAGGCTAACATTAATTTATTTTTGAGATTTATATTGAAATTATTTATATGTACATAGTTACATAACTAAAAGACGCATAGTAAAGAGTATTTGTTTTCTGAAGCTGGTTCTCATTATTGTTTGGTTAATTATCCAACTACATTATTAGTCTGGCTAGTGACGAATATAGTTTTTGTTCAAAGGCTTTTATTATATACAATGACTTTCTTCATAATAATTATAAACCTTCCATTTCAAGTGTAAAAATTGTTGCGTAGTTTAGGACCTGTTTTACCGAATTCACCACTGTTCCGATTTGAAAAAATCTTCTTGTATTGGATAGTGCATTTATCGAGGAAAGCTATAAGCTATTAGAGATGGACGTTTTTAGATATTTTTGAAATCGATGCGCATCGGTATCAGATAAATCGCATCGTATGCCGGCATCGCATCGATGTCAACTGAATGTCGATATCTTATATCACAGGATACGATGCAATATGAATTTCTATAGATGCGTGTTTTGTGTGGGTGTGTCTCTTCGATTCCTTGAATCAGGACTTGAAAATGTATTTACTTTTCGGTATGTAATCTGAAAAGATTGAATGCTGGCAAAATTATTACATAAAAAAAATCACTCAGAGCGTAGGTTTTGAACGCAGGCAGGATGCCAAGTTTGGATGCGCGTATCCGATACGACCGAATGCCGATAATGGATGCCGATGCCATCTGTCATCGTTACTATAGCAACAGTGCCACAAACTTTTCTGTGCCGGTGGCAAAAATTTGAACTACAATTTATCCATAGCATTTTGACATTTTTATGACATAATTGTTCACCACTAGCGACATCTCCACCGGCACAGATAAGTTTGTGGCACTGTTACTATGGTAACGTTGACAAAAACTAGATGGCATCGGCATCCAATAATAGCGGTGGGCGTTTAAACGAAAAGCGCTTAAATAAGCGCGCTTAAAATATTAAGCTTGTAAGCACGCTTTTAAGTATAAGCGTTATAAGCTTTTCACTTAAAAAGTGTGAGTAAGCTTTTCACTTAAAAAAGTGCAAGTATATTTTTTACTTAAAAAGTGCAAATCCCGCCATCTATGTCTTTGCCAGGAAACTACATACTTTGATCCTTCTAGTCCACTACAGTATCGAAAAATGGGTACGCCGAATTCCTTGGAACTAAATATTTCACAATATCACAGACATAGAACACGCGACTACAGCGCCGTGTCGGCGTGCCATCTTTCGTGAGCAGGTTAATACAGCATGCGAATTATTATAATGCGACGTAAAAAAATGCACTTTTTTAAAATTTGGTCGGATAACCAACGCTTTTTTCGTTAAAAGCGTTTAATTAAACGAAGTCGAAAAGCAGTACGCTTGTCACTGTGACGGGGTAAGAGCGCGTGGGTGTTGTACGGTGTGTTTGCATGCTTGCTTGTGTTAATGCGTTTCGTGTATTGGTTTAATGTGCATATAAAATAGTTAAAAGTATGTATATAAAATTAATGAACTTTTAAGTACGCCTGGATCACAAGTATATTAACTCCAGACAGTCCTAAGCTTGTAAAGTACGAAGGAAAGTTCATTGACTATTATAAAAATGTTTATTATAAAATATAAATTCAATTGATTTTTAATGCCAATCAATTCATTAGGTTTAAAAAAACTTTTTAATAAAAATTTCATTAATAAGAAGAAAAAACGCAATAAAACACTTAAACACATTAAAAAGACAATAAACTTTTCACGCTTTTTTAAACGATATACCTAAACGAAAACACAACACAACGACGCGCTTTTTACGCATGCTTTTAAACGTTTAAGCCAATAAGCGTTTAAACGAAAAAGCTTTATTTTAAAAAGTACAACGTTTAAACGCTTTTAAGAAATAAGCCGTTTTTTCCATCTCTATCCAATAACGGCATCCAGTCGTCTTAAAACGCCCATCCCTTTAAGCTATATAACATCAGGCTACGACCAGTAGCAGCGGAGCATCGTCGAAAAATGTTGCAAAAAGGGGTAAAATATTCCATTTGTGAGGTTCCGTTGCGTGCACTGGGTTAACGGTTAAAGTTTCACTAAATCATGTATAACGGAATTGTTCACCTTTAAAAGTTCTGTAAAAAAGTCCGCGACAGCATATGTCCATATTTTAAGTTTGACTCATTATAACCTTAATTTCTTTAAATTAACGAGGGTGAAAACGCAGGGAACCTCTAGTAGTGACATAACTGTGACAGTTACACATATGGTATCGTGGACTTTTTTGTAGATATTGGTATGCTCTTTAAAACTTTAGTACATCATTTTGCTCTATTTTCATTGACTTCTGCAGCGTACGCGATATAAAGTTATTTTTGGGTATTTTTTACACACGTTGGGTTACATTATCAAAGTTTTCATACGGAACCCTAACTTTTGTGAAAATATACTATAGCCCACGGACCTGAAAAACTGATCTTTTTTTCAGGTCCGTGCTATAGCCTTTGTTTGTCAAGGATAATCAAGGTTTCTAAATGTGAAAGAATTTTTCGAATCGGTCCAGTAGTTTCGGAGCCTATTCAATACAAACAAACAATCAAATCTTTCCTCTTTATAATATTAGTATAGATAGATAGGAGCCTAAACTTGGTATGTATTGAAAAAAAATATTTTAACTTAAAACTATGTAGTTATTGAATTGTAATGTGCTATATTTTTAGAATTGGCTCAGTAAGCCCTTTCAATAGATACGGAGCGCGGAGACACAATAGGTTTTAGAACAATAAAATGCTTACAAAAAAGATGACGTCATAATAATTATTACATTTTATTTCCTCTCTTTTTACCCAGCTGCGCAATGCAAGAGCGCGAAGCGCGACGGACAGGGTATTGTGTTTAACAGTCTATATGTATGTAAGTCAGTAAGCCCTTTCATTAGATACGGAGCTAGGAGACACAATAGCTTTTAGAACAAAAAAAGAAGATGACGTCATAATAATTCCTCTCCTTTTTACCCAACCGCACAATGCAAGAGGGCAGAGCGCGACGTGCAGACAGGGTATTGTGTTTAACAGTCTATATATGTACGTTCCTTTGTGGCACACTAGAGACCAAATGCGTGGACCGATTTTGATGATTCATACGTCAATCGATTTGCCTTAGTCATGGGAGTGCTACTAAAGATATGATATTAATCGAAATTCAACATGGGGGCAAATATGTGATTGTGAGACGCTATATCCATACTGATATTATAAATGAGAAAGTGTATCTGTCTGGCTGTAACCTCCTTGATTTAGATAAAATTTGGTATATCTATAGTTTGTGTCCAGGGAAAGGACATAGGATAGTTTTTATTCTAGCAATCATCCTTTAACAGGGTGAAAAGGGGGGTGCAAGTTTGTATGGACCAATTTTCCAACAAACCAATTTTTCTACACACATAAAGTGACTGGTATCCACTAGTGGGTTAATTAATCTGTTGTTGAACCCTCGCAAGCTACTTGATAATCTCCACAATATTAACTTCCTTTATTAAATAACAAGACTGTGGTATTTACCGTCATATAATCCCAACTAACAAGTGTGAAATAAAAAGGTAAATTAAAAAAAATAAAAACAGAGCTTTAAAATAAATTACTCTTAATAAAACCGGAAAAGAAAAAAACAAGTCCAGTACTTATTCTATAATTCTGTTAAGTTTAGGACAAAGCTATTTTAAAATTGAGGATCCATTAAACATTGGAAAAATTTGATCTATTCTAGAATGCCTTATGCCAAAACCTTTTTATTTTACACTTTTTATTAATTTTTTGATGCTACGGCTATTAAATCTGCAAATGGCATTCAATTCACAGCCAATTTCAAAAATGGCTAATTGAAAAAAGTTTTTATAATGTTAAGAAGTTTTATGACTGTAATCTTAATTATTTAATTTTTTAATTAATTTTTACTATAGATGATGTTTTTAAATATTTATATTGATTGAATGGAAATTCTGATTTAAATTATGAAATTAATATTAATTGAATATGATTATTTGATTAGATTTTTTGACATTTGTTCCAATTTTCATGCTGTTAACATACACTGCTAGCACTATTGTATGTTTAGGTATTGTAAGTTCAATATAACAAATTTTTTATGTAACTGTTTCGTATTACCTGTTTTGGCATTACCTGGCCGATTCAATATCTTTTAATCCTGCAGCAGACAGCTTATTGATCAGCTCAATCTTTATTTCTGAAGGCACAAATTTGGATTCATTTTGAAGTCCATCTCTTGGTCCAACTTCATAAATTCTTATTTTTGAAGGAGAAGAACTCTGAAACAAGAATTTGATATTGCAAAAAAGTTTTTAAACTTGTGCCACTGTCTAACTAAGATTAGAAGTACTGACAATATTTCGTTTGATTACACCTAAATAGTAACAATGCTTTTTTAGAAAATTCATTTTTAAGATGAAGATAGATAAGGACTTTTATAGTTTAGTTATCTAAACCACAGAACACATATACCCAAGGATCTAAACAAAGATAGATTATCATGCAGAACGTACACTAATTATTTGCGTAAATCATACAAAAACAAAAATGACACTTCTTATCATTCGCTTATCAGTCCTACCTATGGTCAGAGTTGCCAGGTCAGATTTTAAAGAATCTGGAGGTGTTACATAAACAAAACTATGACGAGTACAGCAATATGATTTATTTTTATCACGCTTAGTTGTCAAATTACTATGGAGTTTGACAGTTAGACGCGATAAAAGAACGTGATATAATGCATATATAGCACTTATATTTAATGTGTTGCTCATGCTTCGGGCTACGGCTTTAAGTATATATAAGGGCTACGGGGACCGACTACATGACATAGTATATTGAGATTCTTCGTCTGAGGCCTATTACGAAATCTAAGTCCAAAGCTGACTAAATAATAGACAGAAACTTCGAGAAAGCTGACTCGATATGCTTTGTGTCAAACACCCCAAAAAACACAAAAACATAAGAATGCGTCACACTCGCATTTCAATCAATGTAAAAAATACTAAATCCAGCCTGTATGTACTTAGAATGGTTTGCCTTCCGTATAGAGGCAATAAGTCTACGTGTAAATGTCAATTTTGTCATTTTGTATGTTATTGACTTCGGGTGTAATACGGTCAATTATCAAACGGGATTGATACAACAAAATAATAATTCTTTTTCACTCTTTTATTAATATGAGTGAGTGAGAGGTATATAGGAGCACTTCGATTTTCTTCAATTGACCGTATTATATCCTATCACCTGTCCAGCACCATCTGCCCGGTACAATTTACATACATTTTATATCCGTGTAATACTTTATTTGCCCGATTTACTAGGTTTGTTTTAGCAAAAGCAAGTACTCCGTCTTAAACATATAAAATGGGTAAGTATGTCTTCGATGGGCGTACGCTGTACACTGGAAAATGAATAAATTTAACTAATAACTTGATTTGGTTTTAGCGGTGAACAGTGCTACATCTTTTATATTATCATCGATATTGACGCTTCTCATATTCTCTGGGATGCAAATGTATAAGCCACTGTTAGTGAAATCACCAATTACAATAATATTTGGAGGCTATTTAGGATCACTGATGTTTATGTTCTTTGTAACCGTATCCTTTTCATAAACCCTAACACAGTTTAAAAAAATAGGAATATGACTGAGATGAACTTTCAGATCAAAAAGAAGATTTCTTATTTTATTAATATTTGATTTTATTTTCATTTCAAACCGTGTAGTCTTGCAGTTTTTATAAAAAAAATATTGATAATTTCACTTTTCATAGTTTTTCTTTCTTTCTTTCTTTCTTTTTATAGGGAGTTATTGCACTCATATTGTATATATTTAATTAAGATTAATTCAATCATTACAGTTATATGTAAAACAAATACATGTATTAAAAAAGTGCTCAGTGTATATTTCCTTACAGTCACCTCACAGGCAGTTGGCAATTTAGAGTCAACACTTTTTGGCAAAAATTTCCAGTTGAAATTGCCTGAAATAGTGCTGTCAATGGCTGTTTCATTGGTAGCTGCGGGCATGGTGCATCGAATTTGTTTTACCACATGGTAAGTTGTTTCTTGATAGACCAAAATCTGACCAGAAGAGGGGGGGCGGGGGCAAGCGGGTCCAACTAAATATAAAAAATGTAGACAATTGTAAACAACCAAAGTTCTTATTTTTCCATGTGATGCCAATAAGTAACCATACCTCGCCGATGGGTAGTGTCTTTTTTGGTAGTGTCGTATTTCTGTTGATGATTTTTGTACTCTATTCCAAAGCTCTAGTGCCAACACCATAAAACTATAAAAAATAGTTAATTGCGGTATTATCAATCAATGTTTGAATTTATTGAGTATTTTTCATTGCAACTACCAACACACTGCGTCATCTCATGGTGCCCAGGCCACATCTCATAATATTTATCAGTTACCACTCTTCATAATCAGCCTATAAATATCCCTCCCTACTCACGGCTTGGATACAGGCCTTTACTAGGGGCGGAATAAAGATAACAGGCAATGAGTCCTAGTGTAGATTGGTGAGTGCTAATGACGACAGTGCAGTTGCAGCAGGGAAGCAGGGACCTTGCCGTGTCTGCTGTAGCATGTAGGAAAATGACACAGTAAATGTTTAGTCTCTCATTCTGTGACCGGTGCTTTGATTTGAATGCGACACAAAAGCAGCGGTAGAACCAGATGTTGCTCTCAGGCCCATAGCCAGAGTTTTATTTAAGATAGGGCAGTGGTAATTACAGGTAGGGCATAAGTAGCGGCGCTCCACCCTTTGCAGCCTGCCGCCTCGGGCATTGCCCCATAATGCCCCTCTTCTGGCTATGGTCCTGGTTGCTCTACATTCCCATATAGGTTTGAAGCTCAAACTCAAAAGTTTTGCCGTAATTGTGCAATGTGTGTTATTACACTCCCTAACCCTCTGATTAGATAATCCCCCGTAAAACCTTTATTATTATTATAAATGTGATTTTATATTGTTGCAGTTTAATATTCTCAGTGATAACAATCTACTACATGAACAGACTGTCACAGAAAACGTATGCTGCTGTGGCCCCAGTAGTGGCACCAGTCAAGAGTCGCCGTCATAAATAATGGCATTGAATGGATGTATTTTTTATTTTATAATATATACCTAAAAAAAAGAATCCTTTTATTTATTTCTTTATCATATTACAGTACCTACAGCTTCCTTAGATACTGAGCAATTACATACAAGTAACAGATACCAAGATTTCTATTAATTATTATAATTATTTACTTACCTATACACATTGAAACTAGTATTATTAACAAACAACGTATTTCACATTTTGTTGTAAATCTTGTAATCGTTATAATGCAATATTATTTGTTAGGTAATAGGTAGATACCTAAACTTACTTTCTACATCCTACATAAATAGGGCTGCCATCCGTCCGGGTTTTCCCGGATTTGTCCTAGTTAACGGGGCGTCCGGGGAGCGTCCGGGCGGGGTTTTATTTGTAGCCCGGGTTAAAAAATTACGGCAACGCATGAGTGGCTCTTGGTGCTGCAAGTGTCCATGGGCAGCAGTTACCACTTATTATGAGGTAGACAGCTAGCTCTTTTGCCTAGATCAACATAAAAAAGTTGATTTGTGACATTTTTAACTGTTTTTTTTTTGTCTGCCCAGGTTCTGGGCTCCAAAATCCGGGGTTATCACGCGTCTTATCCTGGTTGCCACATTTTAGAGATGGCAGCCCTATACATAAAGGAAGCCGATTTTCTGATTCGTACGATGATCTGGTTTTGTTAGAAAATGTGTACATTAAAAAATGCGAAAAAAGCTATACATCCTATAAATAGAGAAAGGAAACGTTTCGGAGAATACCATCATTTATTTGTAAAAAAATTGAAATTTGATGAACAAAGATTTTATACATATACAAGAATGATTCAAAAAACATTTTATTACATTTTGGATTTAGTGAAAAACCGTTTGATGAAAAAATGGTGCAATTGGCATAAACAACCAATCCTTCCAGAAGAAAGACTTGCTGTCACCATTCGGTAAGTACGAAACAAATAATTTTAGCGCTTAGTTAATAAAAGATAAAGTTATTAGATTTATAAAAAGATTATAACTTAGATTGATTTAATCTAAGGATAATAATTCAAATACAAATTATTTATTATTCGGACCAGCGCGTGTCGGCGCTTATCGGCGCCGGTCCATAGAAAAAGGATCAGCGCCAATAGGCGCCGATCGGCTTTCGGCTTTCTTTCTGTATACGGCCTAAGGGTGCGGCCAGAGTGCACTCAGATTCAGAGTCAGATTCAGATTCTGAAAACAAGCGCTAGAAATAAACAGTGTAGTCTAAGCAGGTTGCCTGCTTTTTCTCGCGCTTTGTTTTCTGAGTCTGAATCTGAATCAGGAGTGCAATCTGGCCGTACCCTTCGACTACACTGTTTATTTCTCGCGCTTGTTTTCGAAATCTGAATCTGAATCTGAGTGCACTCTGGTCGCACCCTAAGGCCGTAACGGCCGTAACGGCTGTAAAGAAGAAGAAGCTAACAGAAAGAAAGCCGAAAGCCGATCGGCGCCGAATAGGTTCTCTATAAATAAATAAAAAAAGATTATCAATTTCTCTGTAAGAAAAACCTCTGCTGCTTTTTCCAAACAGTGGAGATAGTGGTAGCTGCAGTGTTTGAAGGTCTCCCTCCGCGCAGCTGGATTTGGTGTTTCAATACAGTTTTGTCTCCAATCCTTTTGATGTTTACTGATTGAATATACATGCAAGTAACATTTAATCTTTATTTTATTGGTGTACCGTTTCAAAAATAATTACAGTTTATAGCCTTGTTAAAGATGTACGGAATGTGATTTCATAGACAATGTCATATCAGTCAGTAGCGATAATAGATGGCGCTGATTTACTTCTACATCGTGACAGGCTTAGGCATTGTCCTAATATAACGCGAATGAGCGATGCGATCATCGTACGAGTCGACGATCAAACATATTGATCTAGAATAGGTGTCCTAATAGGCGATCGCGCAATGCAATCGCGCGACTAAAATGTTCAAAAATCTATTTGCGCGAACCTAGTTCGCGCGAACGCGCAATCAGACCTAATAATGAAGAATAGGTGTCCAAACTAAAGTTCGCGCGATGATCGCGTCGCGTCGATAGGAAGCGGGGAGAGGAGCAGGGCTAACCAAACTGTGTGTCAATCGTGATCGCGTATTCGCGTAAATCGTGATCGCGTATTCGCGTAAATCGTGATCGCGTATTCGCGTTCTATAAGGACACCCAGTTCGCGATCACGCGATGGTCGCATCGTTTAAACGCGCGATGATCGCGTTATCGCGTTGTATTAGGACAATGCCTTACAGTGTATGGGTTTTTTGGTGAAGTAGGTAGTTTCAAAGCATGAGCAGCATGAGTTTAGCTAAAAAAATCAATACGAAGTAATACGTAAAGTAAGAGCGACCATATACAGGCATCTTGAAGCAGCCGGGATTGACTACTTCAAACTGCGACTGCATAGTGAACGACAGTCTGCTACGTACATACATGGTCTGACAGTTGTCGCAACTGCTGAGCGTCAGTTCTTTAAGGTTGATCCATGAAGTTATAGATAATACTGGAGGCCAAACTCCTCTATACCTACTTGAAGCAAAAATAAATGCATTCTATCTCGCTCCGTAGGTCCCCCTCCTCTCTTTCTAAATAGGGTGTCCACACAACTACAAAGTAAAGGAGACAAGTTATGTAAACTTGTAATAAAAGTAAAAACGTATCAATATCTGTGTATGATTTATGAAAGTTTACACATTGGCGAAGGAATTGGTAACGGAAATGTATTAAAGGAAAATCACGGTTATTAAATATCATCAGTTTTGTTTTTATTTCATTTGCTTAGCAATGATTGTGTTAAATTAAGAACCTAATTTTGTTTATTTAACCCAATGTTATTAAAAACAAAAAATACAAGCCAATTTCAAATTAATCAAAAACTTAGTAATATAGAAATCAGAGTTTGCACAAAATTCTTCATACAAAACAGTAATTTAATACCGACCAATATTTGAAATAAACCGACTAAAATGAAAATAATATAATATAGGTATGTAATTCACATTCATCAATTAATTTAGGTATAGTATTTGCTGGGTGGTGTGATAACTGCAGAACAAAATACAATTGCTCTTCACCTGCGTTTCTGTCAAACTTCATTGTAATAAGCTCCCAGCAAATAATTCACCCCTATGTCATATCACTCCATAGATTTACGCATCATATTCCTCTTCTTACATTCTCAGATGTGATTCTTATTTTTTAATTAGAAATAAAACATCGTAGGTTATAAATACAAAATCATTTTAATATGTTTATTTACAAGTTGCTAAAAAGCACAGTTTTATGATGTTTTTGACGTTTCCCTCGTAAAGTGCCAAGAGTCGATTCCATTTTGCTTTTCAAGTAAGATTTTATACGCATTTTGAAAAACAAACTTGAAATTTTCTTTAATAAATTTATTTCATGCAATTCATTGCAAGTTATTGATTCTGAAACAGGATGTATAAACATTTGCGTTAAAGACGTTGAAAAATGTTGCTGAACAATATTAATCATGTTTTTTTGAACTAAATTTGAATTAAGCTGGTTTAATAAAACTGTATGTCTAAATACTTTATCTGCGTATTTCACAATTTTGTATGCTGAAACAGAAGGGAAATGTAATTTTCCTCTATTAACAAAGGTAGTAAAAGAATCCAATTTATTTATATTCATGGCATATAAATGGTCTTTTTGGGAATCATTTTCAGCTACCAATAAATTTTGGCAATGTTTACACGAAATGTGGGTCAACATTTGTTTAATAATATATCCCGTGATATAGAAAAGTATATTTTCCTGGTAGGGACTTGTTTCGACGGAGCGAATTAATGTCTCTAATTCATGTACTTCCATTCTGGTTCTAGTGGTGCCTCTAATAAACTTTTATGTTTTCTTCTAAATTCTAGAACGTGCGATGATTGGAATCCATAGTCTACGCAATTAGCGTTTATTGAGGGCTGGACAGAATTCCGAAACAATAATTTTCTCATTATGTACCGAAATTCTAGTGGACTAGGATTATCTTGGGCCCGACCACGTGCCCTGATACAAGAAAAAAATATTTCCAAGTTATCTTGAGAGCATTTAAAAGTAAGTAAATATTTAAGAGGATTTACTTCCATAGCACACAGATCTGTAACTAGGGATGATAGAGATGTAATATTCATCAAGAAACCTAGGGCAAATGTTTTCCTTCTGTGGTTTAAAATATTCTGACCATTAATATTTAGGCACTTAATGTAAGCTTCAGTTTCGTTAAATATGCCTTCCCAGTAATTTTTATTCCGAAGAGAAAGCGGGGACTTGTAACCAGTGCCAAAAGGGGATTTTGAATTCATTATGTCGAATATCCTGTCGATCATTCGTAAAAATTCTATTGTAGGTCCACTATCTGCAAAATCTAGGTTTCCGCTAGCTTTTAAAAAATGTAGAGAATCAGCTACAGATGAACTCATGACTTGGGCGGCAAGTTTCACATTCATTTTTTTGTTTTTAAAATCCACATGGTTGGCGCTCAATTTATTAGCAAATTTCAAACCTTCCTTCATTTGAATTTCGTGCAATTTTTTTATGTATTCAAATGAAATATTTCCCGTTTTAGATGTAATAACAAATTCAGCTAAAGTATTTCGTGCTAATTTTAACATGTGGGCTGCATCTAAAATGCAATAAACATTAGTCACACTATTTGGGTGCAAAAAATATGGCTTCCAATTATCTTCCTCCAAAGAACAGCCTAGACATTCATAGGCTTTTATATTTGAAGCTGCACCATCACAGGTCAAACTGCGTACGGTAATATCAATTTCATGTAATAATATTATTGCTGTATGTAATAATTCTGCTAGCAGATCCCCAGATAAACAATTTGGTATGAAAAAATATGCTATCGGACATTTAAAGTAGTGGCCGTAAGACACTATTTGAAAAACAAGTGCCTCAGATGCTAATTGTTCGGGATCACTAACAGTAATTTCACCTAAATCGACATATCCAAAGATTTTGCCTGTTTTTTGATCAGGAGATAAATCTTTTTTCACGGACATACCGTCAAAGATTAGGG